AGCAGGTTGAGGCTGGGGGCTCCCTGCATCCAGGCTGCTCGCGGGGATTTGGCAGAGCCTCCTGTCCACAGGTCCCCTGGTTTGACCAAACCAGCCGAACGCCTCCAGGGTGTAATCGCAGCCCATCAGGCCCCCGGCCCCGAGGCAGGCAGGCAGCGCGCCCCGAGGGCTGTGGGCTCGGCGCAGAGAGCCGCGTGGTGCTCCAGTTGAGGCTGGGGGCTCCCTGCATCCAGGCTGCTCGCGGGGATTTGGCAGAGCCTCCTGTCCACAGGTCCCCTGGTTTGACCAAACCAGCCGAACGCCTCCAGGGTGTAATCGCAGCCCATCAGGCCCCCGGCCCCGAGGCAGGCAGGCAGCGCGCCCCGAGGGCTGTGGGCTCGGCGCAGAGAGCCGCGTGGTGCTCCAGTCTGCACAGGGGCCAGCAGTCTCAGTGCTCAGGAATGATTTTTCTGCGAGCTCTTGGTCCGCAGCGAGGATCCCAGAAGCAGGAGGCAGCCATCCCAGCCAGCCTGGCGATCGAGGCCCAGCAAGGGAGCTGGGGAAAAGCAGCCGTTGGTTGGTGCAGCACCGTTTATATGCAGAGGACCGATTGGTTGTGTGGGTGTCGCGGGGCGGCCCGACGCCCTGTCCGACCTCCCCTGTGAATACAGTCCCCTCTCTCCTCCTCGCGGGATGGCTTCCCGGGTACCACGCTAGGCGGACACACCGGAGAGGTGCAGCCGGGGGTGTGATGTGTGCACAGACAGGGCAGATGCACACGTCTCCTGGGTCAGACACGTGCTCAGCTGCCCTTTCCCATTGCTGCAGCAGGCGAGAGACGATGTGGGTGGGCACAGGAGAGCCAGCAAACTGGCCGGGATTCTTTCCGAGCAGCGGAAAGGACCTGCAGCCTTCAGGCCTGTTTGGCTGTTTGAGAAGAGGTGCAGAGGGAGGCCGTTCAAAGGGCCCATCTCCCTGCGCCTTGGGAAGAGGGCAGTCCCGCGCACCTAGCGATGTAGCACCGGCAGCATGCCCTCCGGTGCCCACTCGCCGTTTGAAGGGTGCGGACTAACATGGCCTCCCCCGAGGCTTTTCTCCGTCTCGCTGCCGGACACTCAGTGCGAGCTCTGTCTCTTCCAGATGACGTCCCTGTTCGCACCTGGTTCCCCAAGGAGAATCTCTTCACTTTCCAAACAGCCCCCCCCCCCCCAGCCTCTGGCCTCGCGGTCGGGGGCCGGGCGTGATCACAGGGGAGAGTCCCGGCTCGCGTCTGGCACAACGGCACGCTTGGGCGCGGAGGGCGGGAAGGGCTGACCTCGTCCTTCGCCCAGTCGCTCTTACCCCCTTGCAGGCTTGTCACTCCTTCCCTGAGTCGCTCGGGGCAGGTCTGCACGGCACCGCGACACCCCCGTGGGCACCGCAAGAGGCGGAAGCTCCGTCAGCAGGAGAGCCTCTCCCGCCGACATGGCCCAGCACAGGGAGCACTTCGGTCTCTGGAACTTGTCCCGGTCCCGGGGGTGTCGTGTTCGCACTCCGGAGCGACCTCTGACCCATGCATTGCCCCTCCGTTCAGTTAACTTCCTTCTCGCCTGCTCTGGGCTGGAGCTTGGGCCGTGCCCCGGGCGTGGGGCCTGTGGGGGGAGCTGTCTGCCAGGTCGCTGCCGCTGGGAATCAGCTCGGTTGCTTTCTTTGCTGCTGCTGCCTCAGCTGAGCGCCTGGGGGGGGGCTGCTCTTGTCGCCGCTGGCAGGGCCCGGGTCTCCGCGCTGGGGCAGGGCCCGCAGTTGAGTAAGAGAGACAAAGAGAAACTAGCCAGAGAGGAGAGATCAGATCAGACCTGGGAACAGCTGTCATGCCTCTCTCCCTGTCCCTGCCCCTGTGTTGTGTCCCTGGCTACCAGCTCCACGTCTGATCCTCGGCTCATCCCCAGCTCTGACTCCGGCACCAACCCTGGCTCTGATCCCCGACTCCCAGCTCGACCCCCTAGGCACCTGCCCACTCCCGGGCCTTGCACTCATTCCCTGGGCTATACCCGAAGCCAGGCCAGAACCGTTGGGGGCCAGTTTTCTGACGCCAGGGCGGCTGCGCCCCGCGCTGGTGAGCAGTAGGGCTAGTGCAGGAGGAGCTCGCGGCTAAGGCAGCTGTGGAGAGGGCAGGGCAAGAGACAGTTTGGAGCCTCCGTCGCCCTGGCACAAGGCGATCCCGGGGTTTGGTTACTGGGCATGTTTGTTACAGTAGCCCACGGGCCACTAGGTGCTGTGCAGGGAGTCGCCGCGCCAAACAGCCCGGGGTGGGGCCGGAGCGCCCTGGCCGGCCCCAGCAGATGATGGCAAGCGGCAGGGCCGTGCCGGGGTTTACTTTGGTGGGGTGACTGGGGTGGGCTCAGTCCCTGGAGGGCAGAGGCGAGGGAAGGGGCTGAGCCGGGCCATACGGGATGCAGGGTGTAAGGGGGGGGCAGGTGATGGGGAGACAGCTGGAGCAAACGGCCAATCAGCACAGGCAGAGCAAGTCCAGGCAAACCTGCGGAGGCTCCTAGTCCGGCCTAGGTCCCTGCTTCGGCTGCTGTGCCGGCGACTGGCTCGTTGCTCCAGCGTATGGGGAGAGTCCAGGCAGCGGACGTGGTGCTCTTGGCGGGGCTCCTGCCAGTTCGGGGTGACAAGCCGTGTGCTGGCCTGGAGTCCGGCTCTCGCTGGCTCTGACGGGCAGGGGGATTTCAAGGGGCGTTTCCTCCGTGCCTGGTGAGGAGGGTTCGACACGCAGAATGGCCAGCCGGGCTGAGCACTAATGCACGTCTCTTCTCTCTCCCTTCCTCTGCCGCTCCTGGGATCGCTAGCATCTCGTAAGTACGGCCTGTGCTCGCTGCTTGGGCGGAACCCCCGTCGCCTTTTCCCAGGGCTCCCCCACAGGGAGGCTGCGTGGGCCACGGGCCAGGTGGTTGAGGGCTGCCCCTCTGCCATGGCGCCTCCAGGCCCCAGCTCGATCCAGCAGGTCAGGTGGGACAAGGGGCGCGGGGGTGTTTCTATCAGACAGGTTAGTTCAGCGGCTCTCGGCGCCCGACCCTGCACGTGGCTCCAGCGCCCCTGGGTGTTGCGTGGCACCGGTGGCATGTTGACTGCGTACGGAGGAGGCTAGCGTCAGCCGTTTTGCAGACCCTACTTTGGGCATCCTTGTGCTAGCTTGGGAGTAGCAACCTTCCAGCCTCAGGTAACAGCTGTGCGCAGCCTGTGCCGAACGGTTTGATGGTCTGCTCTCAGCCAGCCCTGGACTTGCCTCTGGTTCCGTGTGGCCAGCGCTTTAGTGGGGAGGGCTGTGCCCCTCCGTCTGGCGAGAGCTTGCTCTCTCTGTCTGTCTGTCTCGTGTTGTCTTCCGTCCAGAGCCATGTAGTCGGTTAATGGCTTGCGATGGCTTCCTAGGGCGTTCAGGGGCTACGCAGAGAGGAAGAGACGGAAACGGGAGAATGATTCGGCAGCTGTTATTCAGAGGTAGGGCCTGTTTCCCTGTAACCTTGCCTGGTGTTGCATGGGCCCGTTGGGCGTCATCAGCGACGCTTGACGATGGTGAGGGTGGTTGTTCCTTGCCTGTGTGGCTGGTTTAGTGAGGATGCCGGTGGTGGCCATGCTGCAAGTCTGCAGACAGTGAGTCAATGGTCAGCAAGCTAGCCAGTCGCCAGTCTTCTTACAGGGGTAGCCAGTCAGGTAGCTCTAAAGAAAAACAGGCAGGGTATTAAGACTCAGAACTGAAGGTGCGTAACTTTGAGGCAATTAATTATATTTTTTCATTAACTATGTGCGCTGACGGCCAGTTAAATGCTGAAAGTTCAGTTGCTGAACTTTCTACTGTCACGAGTGCACCAGCATGCTTGCGTTTTTGGCACCTGGCGGGACAGGCTAAGTCTCTGTATTGATGTCAGCGATTAAAAACAGCCATATTTGCTGCAGTTCCATTCAAAACAGAGGGAGAAAAATTCAGACCTGAGCCGGGGGAGGGCCAACACAAACGGATGAAGTTGGCAGGGAGGAGAAGGCCTTGTTTAGACTCCTTTTCAGAGCTTCCTTTTTCAGCAGCAATGGAGAGAAACAAGAAAGACAAAGACCCTGTAAATGACTAAACAGTGTCTCTTTAAAAAGAAAGAGCAGGCTCAGAGGAGCCTAGATGGTGGCGTGTCCCCCCCTGCGTGGCAGCACGTGCCTTGTTCACCAGCCGTGGTTGTACACAGCAGTCAGGTCGGCCAGTTACTGGGCCCCCGAGAAGGTGGCGGAGCCGTCAGTCGAGGGCAGAGCGAGGGGTCCTGGTGGTGGGAGCAGGCCGGACCGAGAGGGGCTTTGGTTGCAGTGAGTAAAGTGGATTTGCTGGGGTTCTCTCTGGCTAATGCGGCTGCTGCTTTGGACTCAGGCCGTGCCGTGCCATGAAGCTCTTTGCGAGGCTGTTCCCCTGGCGGGAGGAATGTGAGCAGCAGCTGGAGCTGCAGCATTGTTCCGACCAGGGCAGTGCATCTGGGCCGTGGGCGTGCATGTTGCTGGTCTTGTGCCTTGGCGCGTGGCACTCGTGGGCGTGTCCTCTGGAGCTCTGGGCCCTCCGGCAGCAGCTGTGGGGGTGGAAGGGCCGTGGCACTTGCCCGGTGAAATGTTGCACGAGGGGGGTAGGGTCGAGTCCCTGGGGATCTCGCTGAGAAGCCAGCGAACTTGCACAACTCTCCTAATCCCACTGATCTCTCCAGGGACCCGAAAGGGCTTCTATGGAGCGTGGCAATTCCTCCGTCCAGGCTGCCCTGGCTGCGGCGCAGGCTGGGAAATTGCTCCCGGGGACGGGCTGCAGCTTTCTCGCAGGACTTGGGGGTGGCAGGTTGGGGCTGGCAGCCAAGGAGCGATAGGAAGAGAAACCGCGTCTGGTTCGGTTCTGAACGCAACGGGGACTTCCTGCGCCCGGCTGGACTGACAGAGTTTCGACAGCTTAGACGAGACGATCAGATTGCGACAGGGGTGTGAGTGAGGCAGCGCCCCCCGCGGACGGGGCAGTGCAGCTCGGCCAGAGCAACCCCCATCCACGGCAGGGGCGCTTAGCTGGTTAACCGATCAAACAGCGTGTAACCAGTTAGCCGAGTAAAGGGGCTTTTACGTCCCTGGGCTGCGCAGGCATTGGGAATTCACCCCGACTCCCCTCCACGCTGACAGGCCGGCACGTCCTGGGCCTGGCGCCGTCATGCCTGTGACCGCTCCGCCTCGTGGGCTCAGGCGCACGTCAGCCCAGATGGGGGGTCCAGCCTGGTGCCTAGATCTTGTCCTCCCTTTCCAGAGCGTTTCTTTCTGGGGAGGTAGGGGAAGGGATCCGTTTACTCTGCTGCTCCCCCGTGGGCAGCAGGACACAGCCCCCCAAGAGCCTCCGAGTCGGCTCTCGGCACTGCTCGGGGTTCCTCTGGCGTGCCCGGGGCACAGGCCAGGCTGTGCTCGCGGCGTTCACCGCAGCTCGAGAATGCTCCGGGCGGGGGCTGCCCCAGGGCTTGGGGGGGGCGGCGGCCATTGGACAGGGGGGTTTTGCTAATGCCACAGCTGGTGGCAGGAGATGAGCATTGGGTAGCTCTAGTGCATGCTCGCTCTGGCAGGCGTGCGAACCTTTGTGCATTACCCTGGTGAAATAGACGTGAAAGCTGCACTTCCCCATACCCATTACACCCTTGTGACTGGATCCGTTGCTTGCCAGGCCCTGGCCAGTAGCAGGACTCCAGGTGTATGTGGCTGAATGGCAGCGGTGGGCTGGCCTGGATACCCACCCAAAGGAGCCCGTGGCCTGACCCTGGGTGGCGAATGCGAACCTTTGTGCATTACCCTGGTGAAATAGACGTGAAAGCTGCACTTCCCCATACCCATTACACCCTTGTGACTGGATCCGTTGCTTGCCAGGCCCTGGCCAGTAGCAGGACTCCAGGTGTATGTGGCTGAATGGCAGCGGTGGGCTGGCCTGGATACCCACCCAAAGGAGCCCGTGGCCTGACCCTGGGTGGCGAATGTGGCCTCCCGGTAGAGCTGTGGACTGGGAGGGACCCCCCCCGGGC